CACCCTCAGGTTTGATGATTTGCTAAAAGGACTCACAGGACCTTTTTATTTATGTAAAATCTTTATACACATTGCAAAAGGATATAGATTAAAATCAGCAAAGGGAAAAGTAGGGAGTGTGGTCCAGAAAAAGCCAGTAAGACTCCGGGTGTTTTCTTTTTGTGGAGTCCTACAGACAGCACTTAATTCTCCCAACAATGTGACAATGTGACAGTGTGACAGTATGTGCAAAGTGTTGCCAACAAGGATACCGAAGCTTTGGTGTCCAGGGTTTTTATTGGGGTCAGCAGCAGAATATTATTCTGACAATGTAATAGATACAGAAAAAAAAAGCTGTGATTTGGGACACATTTTAAGAAACCAGACATAAGAGTATGGGTGTGCCCCTTGATGGGCATAGGTCTAAGCTACATACAAGCAATGAGGAGAGAGGTAATGGGAGGGAAATGCTTGTCCAAGGATAAATACAAAAGGATAACATTTAATAAATGTCAGGGTGACTGAGTCCCAGCAGAACATGAGGCTTAACAAATAATCTAATGAAAATTTCAAAGGCCATTTTTAGCTACATTTAGAATTTGAAGAAACAGGCTTCTAGTTTGGAGAAGAGAGCTGTGGTGCTAAGAGATGATGAAAAGAAAGCTAAGCCCTTCATCTCCTATAATATTCCCATCTTCTGTCTGAATTGGGAAGTACTTGTAGTTTTGAGAGATCTGAAACCAAGAACAAAAGAGATGTCAGAAAATTATAAATGAACAAATGTGCACTTTTTTTTTAATGGGGAAAAAGTAGATTTTGGAAACTATAGAATTTAAGATTGATATAAATCTAAGTTAAAATTCTAGAAAAGACTATTCAGGATAGCTTATGAGCAATTAGAAAACAGACAGTCACCAGGAGCCTATCTGTGTTCACTGTGGCTAAGCCTTGCTAAATGAATCTTACTTCCTTTCTTAACCAGGTTACTAGAAGAGAAAAGTCTGGAGAAATTGGTATACCTTGACTTTGGCCAATGCTTTGCCAGACTCTCAGGATATCCTGTGGGCAAGCCAGAGAAATGAGTTAAATGACATCTCATTAAACAGATTTTCAGATACTTGAATCAGAAGACTTAGACCTATTAGGTGGGCTCTATTGTATAAAGACACAGATGGGACTTGACAGATTTGTAAATATGACACGACAGGTGATTGAGTCAAGATCCATAGAGATTTGGGGGACTTGAGACAGGTCATCTCAACAAGATGATACTTTCAAAGAATAAGGAATCAAAGAATTTTGTTTTTTAAAAAGAACAAATTTTAAATCATCTCTTTAGGGACGTTTGTATGCATGTGCGTGTTGGTTGGAAACAGTTCCTGGGGGAAATGGCTTAGTTGGAGTTTGTCAAGTGAACAAACATTTGATGTTAAACCAAATACATATGATATTCTTTTATTTATTCAAAAAATATTATGTGGCTGTCGTAAAAGCAAATTCTGCCTTAACTTGCATATAAGAGTATAGAACCCTAATCCGGGATGGCGATGGTGTTGCTAACACTACAGTCATGAAAGAACATTTGGGTAGTCTGCTCAGTTTTTTGTGAGACGCCTTGAGGGAGAGAATTAGCACCTAGAAGAGGCCCCCAGGTCCAAGGTGGCAGGAGGGCTGGAAGCCATGTGGTGAGAGGGAATTAACGATCTGTGAAGGTTGATCATCTTGAAGAAAGAAAGACTAAGGCGAGATGTGGAACTGATCTTTAAATCTGTTAAGAGTTATTATCTGGATGCTTTCACAGACTCCTGTTTTGTTCCTTAGGCAGAAGTTACAGGGTTAATAATAGCTATGAGTCATAGGAAATTGTGTTTCAGCCAGTCTCTTACAGCGCGTTAGCTCCTTCACCAGACCTTAGGCTGGCAGAGATGGGCAGGACCAGATCACATTCCTACGGAGCCAGCAATCCATAAATTCATGTTCCAAGGGGAGAAGTGGATGGGTATACAATGGCTCTTCCAACAGAGAGACTCCTTCGAGAGCCGGATGCCTCTAAACCACTGAGCTCCTGTCTCTGGAACACAAAAGGAAAGACATTCAGGTTCTGTGTGAGGGTCCGAGGCTGGCCTGATGGTATCTGAACCTCAATGTGGTGTTCTGATAGCCACTGAGGACCAAGACACGTGTTTGCCAGGATAGGCAAAGAGGGTTGTTTGAGGAGAGTCTGAACTGTGTTCAAGGAGAAAAGCAAAAGTTCCAAGGCAGAAAAGTGTCCCTGAGCATCAGATACACAGGAGCCACAGAAGGACAACTCAGGAGTCAACAGGGGGTGGAGCAGACCTAGTCGGGAAGCACAGTGTGAGACTGGTTGAAGCCAGTGGTCTGGAACGAAGCTTGGCCACGATGTCAGCAGTCAGGGGCTTGTTGGGAGCTCTGTGGGACCAAGTGGGCTTGGGCCGGAGTCGGACAGGACTAGACTAGAGGCTGGACCACCGTCTCTCGGGGGTGTTAGAGATGGGATTTGTGCCAGATACCCTCTATTTTTCTCTCCAGCTCTACACTCCACCCTTCTCCACCTGGCTCTAAGCCCAGGAAGCTGACCTATATAACTTGGATCAGTGGAATCCTTGCCCTCTGCAGCCAGTTAGCTTCTGCAAACAAGAAGCCTCAGTTAGAGATTGGAGAGGGGAGGAGAAGGAGGTTGGGATATTCTTGCCCTCCGCGCGCCTCCCTGCGGGGTCACCTTGGGATTTCTGTGTTCCTAGCCCAACGGTCACAACTCCTCTTAGATGCTTCTGTCTATAGAGCTGTCTCTTCCAGGATCCAGGAGCCCCTCCCTGCCCTCCTCCCTTGAAACCTAGAGCTGGTGACAGTCCCAGAGATACCAGCTCTGGGGTACTACACTATCCTTTGTGGCTCTCCTACAACTTGCCCACACCCTTATGAAAACCATTTATTGAACTCTTCTTGAATCATCCTACTAGGAAAATGTTATCTGTTTCTTGTCATACCTTGGCTGACACAGGATTCTGGATTGAGTGAGAAGATCAAATAGGTTATTTCAAAAAAAAACCTTATATTTCTGTGGCTCTGGATTTCTTATCACTGACCGTAGATGTTTGTAGACCCAGGAGTAATGAGAATTAAGTTTCTATACCTAGGAATCCACAAAAGTATTTCTATAGTGGATGTGAAATTCACCTAGAGATTTGTGGTTCAGTCTAGCCACAGAAGGTATACAATGTGTCATTTTTGTAAGAATTCATGCTATCAGGATGTATGACAGGATTTTCAGTTGCTTCTACTATGTCTGAAGGGTCAGCTAACATCTTTACTGCTATTCTATAAAAGAGCCAAAGGTAGCTTACGCTAGCCAAGCAGAACATTGGCAAAGTCATAAAAGAGCCATAATTAATCTTAAATATCTTTCACAGACAAGTCACTAAGCCATACTGTGACCCTTTCTAGGAAGATTGAATAGTGGAGGCTCTCCATAATGATGCTATTTCAAGGATGTCCCAGAACCTCAGGAAAAGAAGGAAGTCTACATGACTTCAAACTGTATAATATCTGAGCCTGATGATCAATAGAAAACATCGTCTTCTGGTATGTGAAGGTCATTTCCATTTGACTATGAGTAAGAGTTTTGTTGTTGTTGCTTGGATGGACTTTGATATAATCTTACTTCTAAAGAGTCGTTCTCTTAAAAAAAATTTTTTTTAATCTTTATTCTTAAGACAGAGAGACAGCGTGTGAGCAGGGGAGGAGCAGAGAGAGAGGGAGACACAGAATCCAAAGCAGGCTCCAGACTCTGAGCTGTCAGCACAGAGCCTGATGTGGGGCTCAAACCCACAAACCGTGAGATCATGACCTGAGCTGAAGTCGGACGCTCAACCAACTGAGCCATCCAGGTGCCCCAAGAGTCATCCTTATCTTTTAGAGGTACACAGTGAAAAGCTTATGGATGAGATGGTGTGACTGAACTTTGCCTCACAGTAATACAGAAAGGGGGGGGGGGGGGGGGATGGATAAAAGAAGATGGTCCATGAGTTAGTTGATAGCTGTTGAAGCTGGGTGATGGAGACATGGAAGTGCTTTACACTATTCCCTCCGCTTTTGTGTAATTTTAAAATAATTGAATATTCACTGCCAAATGAATAGTTAATTCAAAAGTTGTTTCTTGGGGCGCCTGGGTGGCTCAGTCGGTTAAGCATCCGACTTCGGCTCAGGTCATAGATCTCGCGGTCTGTGAGTTCGAGCCCCGCGTCGGGCTCTGTGCTGACAGCTCAGAGCCTGGAGCCTGTTTCAGATTCTGTGTCTCCCTCTCTCTCTCTCTCTCTGACCCTCCCCCACTCATGCTCTGTCTCTCTCTGTCTCAAAAATAAACGTTAAAAAAAAAAGTTGCTTCTGGACACAGGAACATGCATTTATTATTGCTCGACGCCACTGATGTCATGAAGTTCTGTGTGTAGGTTTCAGAAGTGTAATAGGAAAAACGTATTGAAACAAATGTAAATGAGGAATGCCATTTTTATGAGAGTTTAATGAAACTAGGCTCAATGAAAACTGTTAAGATAACATTCAGAATGTACACTTAGAATATTTTTTTCATGAATTGAAAAGGAAAGCAAACAAAAATACTGCATTCATGTTTTAAAATATATTACATGTGGACTTTGCTTCCAAATAACCTGGGATGAGAGCCGACTGGGTGAGGTTACAGATGAAACAAGTTTGGCCATGAATTCATATTTGTTGAATTGGGGGCATGGCCACATGGCAGCTTACCATGCGATTCTTTCTGCTTTTATATACGCTTTACATTTTATACAGAATGGGTTTTTTTTTTTTTAGTAAAACATATACTGCACCTCAAAAATGTGACCGTTTTACATTGAGGAAGTATTAACTCTTATGATTTAATGAAATGTAACCTTATGCTATTTCTCTTTCTCCTCCTTAGAGTCTCCATTTTCTAATATATTACCATTTGTTCATTTCTCTCCTCTTCCCCCATGCCTTAGTTTTGTCTGTTATATGGAACCAAGCTGGTGTTTCAGGAGTGAGCCTGGTATCTAGAACATAAATATTTGACTCCCACGGCCAGCACGAGGATTAGGAGTCAGGTAAGGGTCCCTGATGTGCAGAAGAAACCCTTTGCACTTCAGCCGTCAGCTCTTTGCTTTCTTAGAAAACAGTCCTGTCAATCTTTTATCAGTTCCCACTCAGGGATTTTTATGCCCCTGGGACTTCACATACATGTTTTCATTGCCTACCATGATCATATTACACTTCAGAAGTTTAAGTGACAAGGAAATGATTCACTGTGCATGAACTTTCTGACATGAGAAGCAGAAGAGGGAATCAAAAGTATTTTCCTTGTCTTGGCAAAAAATAAAAATGTATTAAGTGATTTTCATTTTTCTGCTTCTTAGCAAAACCCATTAAGTCATTCTTCATATTCAGAAAGAAGACCTGTGGTATTTTTATGTCAGTGATGGTAATGGAAATTCAATGTGATGGCTAAGAGTACCTGAAAATGAAGACAGAGCCGGTGAACCACCACCAAGATGCCGCTCTAAAGGAAAAGAATATAAAACAACATAATCGTGTATAAAACACATTTTCTGACAGCTTCTCTTCCGGGTCCCCCATTAGATGCTATAACATAAGCAGGTGTATATGCTCAGACTTTGCCTTCAAAGGAGCTCATCATATTTGAGGACACAAAGCTGACTTTAAAACACAAATAATGGGGCACCTGTGTGGCTCACTTGGTTGAGGATCCATCTCTTGATTTTGGCTCAGGTCATGATCCCGGGATCATGAGATCAAGCCCTGCACTGGGCTCAGTGCTGAGGATTGAGACTTCTTGGGATTCTTTCTCTCTCTCTCCCTCTGCCCCTCTCCCCAGCTCATGTTCTCTCTAAAAAATAAAATAAAAAATTAAAAAAAAATTTTTTTTTAGCCACAAATAATGACACAAGGGAGCAGAGGCTTCCCAATGAATAAGTTCAGAGTTCAGAGGACAGAGATCACTTAAGGACTTAGGAGCAAATGTCATTCTTGTTGCTAGACCTTCAAGAGTGGAAAATTCCAACAAACTGGTGGTTCGACTGAGGAGGGGGCCGTGCAGTTTTGAGCCTTCAGACAGGGTCGGTTGAAGTGCGTAAAATCACACAAACAGGAGTACGTAGGGCAGACATGTTGAGAAACGGTGAGCAGACCAGTTTGGCTGATGTCTCAAGTGAAAGCCTGGAGAGGAGCCAGATTGCAGTGGACACCGAAGAACCTTGAAGAATCTTTTTCCCTTTCAGGAGAACAAGAATTCTGAAGAAAAGCATATGTAAAGATGTTTCAGTTCTCTGTCGCTGTGTAACAAACGACCCGAAAACTTAGTGGCTTAGAACAGCCAGTAATTACGTGTAGCAATTCCACATCTGAACGGGGCTCAGCTGGATGGTTCTCCTGCTGCCTGAGGTCTATGAAGGCGGCCTCTGCACTCACAGCAGTCACCTCCGCTGGGGTGGCAGGGACCTCTGGGGACTGCTGGGCAACTGTCTCCTTCTGTGTGACCTAATGTGGCCTTCCCCACAGCGTAGTAGTGTCAGGAGGGCTGAATGTTTTACATGATGACTGGGTTCCAAAGAGGAAGTGGTAGATGCCAGTCATCTCAAGGCTAGGCCCACTGCTAACATAGTGTTCCTTCAGCTGCATTCTGTTGGCCCAAGGGACTCACAAGGCCAGCACAGATTTGGGCTAGAGAAGAGACTTCCCCTCTCATTGTGAGGAGCAGTGTGCACATCATGCACATCTAAGGAAGGAAAAATTGATGGCAGCTGTCTTTGGATACAAGAAAATGCCCACTTTGGGGAGGAAAAGAATATTTTTAATTTAAGAAAAAAAAAAGCTACATGAAGGAAGATTTTAAATCCATGTGATGAGGTATTTCAGTGATATAAAATAGGTAAATAATACATCAAAAGAATATTGAGTAAAAGAAACCAACTTTCACGTACAACATTGAAGCGCTTTCGTATGCTATTGGTCCAACATGCTTTCTACACTTTTCATTTCCTGGAATCTCTGAGCAGCCTGGGAGATAAGCAGGGAACAGACAGACATTTTGGAACAAGCTTTATCTATAGATGTGGGTTGCTAAGACCTATAGGACATCTCCAGGCCTTCTTTTGCAGATCTCAGGGCTACCAGCCATGAGCACTCACCCCTTCTCTGGGCTTTCCCAGTGTTCCCAGAGGGGAGAGGGTAATGTAGCTGGCACCAATGCTTCCCTTCCCACTTCTGCCACACCCCTTTGAAGGGATTTCAAGGTTTCAGAAATATTATCACTAGTTTCTTTTCATTAAAATGTCTGGGACTCTTGGCCAATTGGAGATGCTTAACAGGAGTGGGCTTGTGAAAGGGTGAGAAGGGGGAAAGGGCTGATTAATATTACTGAAACTGATCTAGGTGCTTTACATGATAACTCTTCAAGTTTATTGATTCTTTCTTTCTTTAGGTGCATCTAATGTTCTAATTCATCCCCTAAAGTTTCAATCCTGTTTGTTAGGATTTTTATTTTAAAAAACCTTTTTTGTTTTTTGCTTTATATCACCTATGTCCCTTTTTAGTTTCTTATACCCTAAAGTTATACTCAATTTTGTCTTGATTTCTTTATGCATTGAAGCATAGTTATTTCATAGTTTATCGCAAATGATTCTAACAACTTAAGACTTTACCAGTCTAGTTCTTTTTGTCTATTATTTCTGCTATGTGTGTAGTTATCTTTTATATGTGTTGGTCATTGTTATTGGAAAATGATTTGTGAGATTTATGTGAAGGCCAAATTGAAGGCACCTTCTTCCCCTTCACAAAGCATCTGAAAGCGCTCTCAGTTTAAGACCCACCATAAACCAAACTCAAGGCTTGAGTTTCCCATAAGACTTGGAGAATTCAAGTAAGAGCAGTAATTGCCTCCCCCTCCCCCAGCGTTATAGCTGTTTGGCATCCAGCTTATTATAGCAAGGGTCTCCTATTAAATTTCTTGCCTAGTACTAGCCCCAGTTTTGACTGTCATCACCCCTACCCCACCCCAGCCACCGTGAGGCTGTCAAAGTGAAAATTCAGAATTGCTGGAAATGGCAAATGCCTTCAGGGTAAATGCAATTTTCTTCCTTGTTTATTTCTTTCGGTTCCCTCTTTCCCATAATTTTTGCCATTATTATTTTGTCAGATCATTGTTGGATGATTCCTGTATTTTCTCTAAGAATTTTGGTTGTTTTCAGCAGAATGGTTGGGGGGAAAACCTAGCTCTCTAGCACCAGAAGCAAAGTTCCTACAGTGTTATACCACTTGACCCCACAACTGCTCTTTAAGTCATTTTCATTATCCTTACACAGGTGAGGAAATGGAAACCCAACATGGAAAAGTAACTTGCCCAAAGTAACACAGCTAGTAAAAAACCCATATCTCCCTGACTCTAAACATTTTCATTTATTTTATTTGGATAAAAATCAGCAGTAGCTAATAACAACAAGGACATTCAGTGTCCAGTTCTCGCTTCTAGTGCCACTTTCCAATAAAAGGAAGCAGAGTACCTGAAGAAATGACTGATTCCAAGAATGGGGCAATGCATACATAAGATAAGCCTGAAGCATCCTTCAGTGCTAGAAGGTAAGAAAGTGCCCCAAATGAAAACTAAAACAAAATACCCCATAATTGTGGGGTATGTCAAGGGGACACTAGAATGAGTTAACTTAGAGTTCCCAGTGGCTAAAGCTGGAACCGTTTGAGCATTGGATTATAACCCCAAGTATAAAATAATTAAATATAAGTCCATAATGATATAAATAAATGATGAAAGGGATAAATAACGGGGGTTAAAAAAGACCAGTCTTTCTTACTAATATATGTAGATTCAGTAAATGAAACCTAATTCACGTCCCTTAAGTGTGGGTTGGACTCCATGGTTTTCTTTTCTTTTCTCTTATCTTCCCTTCTCTTCTTCTCTTCCTTTCTTTTCTTTTCCTTTCTTATTTATTTATTTATTTATTTATTTATTTATTTATTTATTTTTAATAATTTATTTTCAAGTTAGCTAACCTACAGTGTACATAGTGTAGTCTTGGCTTTGGGAGTAGATTCCTCTAATTCATCACTTCCATACAACACCCAGTGCTCATCCCAACAAGTACCCTCCTCAATGCCCATCGCATGGCCATTTTCCCCACCCTCCAGCCCCCTGCTCCCATCAGCCCCCAGTTTGTTGTCTGTATTTAAGAGTCTTTTACGGTTTGCCTCCTTCTCTCTTTGCAACTTACTTTTCCTTCCCTTCCCTATGGTCTTCTGTTAAGTTTCTCAAATTCCACATCATATGAGTGAAAACGTATGATATCTGTCTCTAACTGACTTATTTCATTTAGCATAATACCCTCCAGTTCCGTCCGCATTGTTGCAAATGGCAAGATTTCATTCTTTTTCATCGCCAGGTAGTATTCCAGTGTGTGTGTGTGATCTTTATCCATTCATCAGTTGATGGACATTTGGGCTCTTTCCATAATTTGGTTACTGTTGATAGCGTTGCTATAAACATTGGGCTACATGTGCACCTAGAAATCAGCACTCCTATATCCTTTGGATAAATTCCTAGTAGTGCTATTACTGCATTGTAGGGCAATTCTATTTTTAATTTTTGAGGAACCTCCACACTGTTTTCCAGAGTGGCTGCACTAGTTTGCATTCCCACCAACAGGGCAAAAGGGCTTCCCTTTCTCCACATCCTCGCCAACATCTGTTGTTTCCTGAGTTGTTAATTTTAGACACTCTGACCAGTGTGAAAAAATTTTCTTTTATTTTAGAGAACAGAGCATTGACAGGGAAAACAGTTACTTTACAGTGGAGAAATCTGGCAGATCCCACCTTAACCAAGTACAGTAGGTGATCACGAGTAATAAGTTGTGTTGATGATATATACTTATGATATTATGCAGTGAAAACAGCACTTCACTTATCTACAAAAATCCATACCACTTATCTACAAAAATGTCAGAGTGAATCAGATGGAAGTACGGTCTACACAATACCTAACCAGCCCTCAAACTGCCAGTGCATGAAAGACAAGGAAAAA